GGGGCGACGGTGGCCATTATGTGTGACGGGCCGAGCGGTGGGGAACGAGATGATTAATTTGTACTGTACGGCTCAATAATACATTAGGTTATATAGTACATCCTTGCAAAACACGTACTTAAAGTAAAAAAATTAAAAAGAAAATTTTAATTAAGTTTACAAGTTCACTAAAGTATTAAGAACGTTCGTCTGATGATGCTTGAATTTAAAATTAAATTGGAAGACGTAATAATAACTTTATATGACTTGTTAAAAAAAAATTACAGTTCAACAATCAAAATAAAATAATAATTACATGTTATATGCAATATAAAGCATGATCTCATGTCTATTTAATTTTTATTTCAAATTCGCATTCTCGTTGTTACGATTGAAATTGTAATATAATTTTGAATATAAATAATTACGTATTGGTTTAATGTACATATATCAATCAAAGACTTAACAATTCTATTAAATTCATAGTATATAAAGATATCGAGTTCACCGAATTGGGTTAAGTTCAAATGATTCTAATCCAATAGATATAGTCTAACCTAATTTTATATCAACTATATGTCGAGTTATCTCGGATTAAGTTTTTTTAGATTTTCCAAATTAGGTTGGTCGGATTTTGAACACGAAATACAAGAGTGGCTAGATGTCCATCATATGGATTTTGGAGTTTCAGTGGATCCAATGGTCCATATGAGACCGGGCCCATGATCCGCCCGTTTCTTTTCATTCGGTCACCCATGAATTTTGATAGCATATGCATATGACTGTGGCATATGCGTCCGAGTCCGATTCAGAATCCGAAGCCGAACCAAATCTCTATCCGAATCCGAATACAACTTCTTCCTATTTCGTAATCTCTTGTGGCCGATCAGCAATTAAATGCGCTCTCTTCTCCCTAAATTACAAACAATCAGGAATTCAGAAGGGCAATTTGATCTGTAAGTTACCAGAATCACTATTCTCTATTTCTACATGCATCACTACATATTGATTGTATCTTCTTGTAGATAGAAAACGAAATCTTTATAGCGACGTCGGTGTTTTTTTGTAGGATTTAATGGGTTGCACTGTTAGAGACAAGCACATCCGTACTAATCGGAGGCCTCGTCCTCTGAAACCCGATTCTGATGCAATGGATAAAGCTTTGGCCAACAAATCTAGTTTAAACCCATTGAATTTCCAATTGGGTTTTAATGATTCAGCTCAAATTCCCAATTCAAACCCTAATTTTGATGACAGTGGTTGGGGTTACTGTACGGAAGAACAGTTGGAAGAAATTTTGTTGAAAAATTTGGAGTTTTTGTATAATGAGGCTATCGTTAAGCTTGTTGCATTAGGCTATGATGAGGAAGTTGCTTTAAAGGCTATACTGAGGAATGGACATTGTTATGGTGGAATGGATGTGTTGACTAACATCTTACATAATTCTCTGGCTTTTTTAAACTGTGGGTCTAGCGGGAATGAAGGAGATGCAGATGAAAGTGAACAGGTGTTTGCTGATTTGAGGCAATTGGAAGAGTATTCGCTGGCTGGTATGGTGTGTTTGTTGCAGCAGATTAAACCACACTTAAGTAAAGGGGATGCCATGTGGTGTTTACTTATGAATGATCTTCACGTGGGTCGTGCTAGCGTGATGGAAATTCCTATTGCCTCAAATGCTAATGGGGATGGATATAGCAACAGTGAGTCTAGTGGTCCAGTTGTGAACAATGTGGAGAAGGTGAATAATGATTCGGTCGGGGTGACTCCTGCATTGTGTAGGTTTCATGGCGGGTGGGGTTTTGGAAATGGGGGGACCTCTGATTTCCCAGTAAACCGATTTCTCTCGTATGCTGCTTCAGAAATGAGTTTGCAAAGGGAGATTGAGTGTCCAAAGAGGTTCAATCTTACTCCTTCGATGAAGATGCTTTTGAAAAGGAATGTAGCCATGTTCGCTGCAGGTTACAGAGCAACTGCAAAAGATTTGCAAGTTCAGTCTCGGGTTGGTTCGAGCACTTTGTCCATTGGACATCCATCAAATGCAGTTGAAGCAAGTTGTGAAGTGCCTCCTCCTCCTGAGAAAACCGAGGAGAAACAGAGCGAGAAGAACCAAGAAGTGGTTAATATGATGTTGAATAAATTTCGTGACATGAACCTTGAAGGAGATATGGAATATGTACCCGAGGATCAAAAGGATGAGATGATTTTGAGTTTAATGCATCAAATTAGAGATCTTGAGAGACAGGTGAAAGAAAGGAAGGAATGGGCACATCAGAAGGCGATGCAAGCAGCAAGAAAGCTGAGTCATGATCTTACTGAATTGAAAATGTTGAGGATGGAAAGGGAGGAGACCCAACGTCTGAAGCAGGGGAAGCCAACTGCTGAAGACCCCACCATGAAGAGGCTTTCAGAGATGGAGAGTGCTTTGAGGAAAGCAAGTGGCCAAGTGGATCGTGCAAATGCAGCTGTTAGACGTCTTGAAACGGAGAACGCTGAAATCAGAGCAGAGATGGAGGCTTCAAAATTAAGTGCTTCGGAGTCTGTTAATACGTGTTTGGAGGTTGCCAGGAGGGAGAAGAAGTACCTCAAGAGGCTATTGGCTTGGGAAAAACAGAGAGCCAAGCTGCAGGATGATATTGCTGCTGAGAAGCGGAGGATCATAGAGTTGCAAGAAGAGATGCTTCAAGTTGAGGCAGCAAAAAAGGCGGCTGAGGTATGCTTTTCTTATTTGTTTATGTTATTGGCTGCAAACTATAAGAAACTAGTGTTCGCTTATGGAATTCCACTGTTGCATATGGATTTTTATGATTTATATTCTTGAAGTCTATCATCCTTGGTGCTTCATCCTGACAATTGAAGAGTATATGACAGTAATGGTGTTGTTATCACCTAATAGTGATATCTCATTGTTATTTGTTTGACTATATCTTGTTTACTTCTTAAATTTTTTACGTGGAGAATTATCCATGGTTTTAAGAGTCTTGGGAGTAGAGTCTTGAGTTTATGCTTAGGTTGGACTATGCATGAATGCAATATACAATCTCTTTTTCCTTCTGTCCTTTTTATACATATATTACAGATAAAGGCTTCCACAGGATAGGAAGCAAACTAATGTAGTTCTTGTCAACATCGGAGTCTTAACAACTAGATTGATGCTATGGCTGAAATATAATATCTTGATGAGGCAAAAATAGGTGTGTTGACTATCATAAAGGAAAGGATAGTGTGTGATCTATCAAGGTGAGAAAAGTAGGCCTCATTGCTCATATTTATTTGCAATGCTTTAATGCGTTATGCTCTAGGCACATAAATCAGCTTTAGTGGTTAAGGTTTTGGTGAACATATCTATGGTTTGATTTTTATCATGCATCTCTTGTAAGCATGATAGAGGATCAAATTTAATTACATGAAGCTACCCTTTTTACTAGTAGATGAGAAAAACTTCAAAGGGACCCATAGTTTCTTGAATCAGTTTGAAACTTCCACACTTCTTTCCTGACAGAATTCAGATGTAACTGTTAAATCCTAGTAGGTAAACTTTCAAGCAACTTTGCTCACTTGAGTTGTATTGTATAATGCATGTGCTTTTGGCCCGATTTTGCCAACCTAACCGAGTGGCATCGAGGTTGGTGGTTGAAGCCTCTTTAGAGGCACTAATGGGTGTATAGTTGATAAAGAGAAGTACAGTCTAATTCATGGACATTGCATACAAGAACTGCAATTAAGGTAGATTCCTCCGTAAGCATATTAGTCAATGCAATTGTCATGACACATGGCGTGCTGTCTTGCAACGACATGACTGAATGGTGCATGATGTTGCCATGGTGTAGTGTGTACAATTTGGGATTTTAACAGGAAGTAAGATTTATTTTTGCTTGGTCCTCTTTGGGCTTGTTTATTTTTCTTAAAATCTTTCGGATAATTATATCAAACTAATGGAACAATATGAAAAAAAACTACTAAATTTAGGCCTTTAAACCCAATTCTTAAACAACTAGCTAAAAATTTTAGTATAGTTGTGTCTCTACTCTCTACCACTCATTTTGTCTTTGGTCCAGTTAACTTTTCGATTGCCCTATTATCGACTTATGTTCTTGTATGCGTTCTTTTCTCGCTTATTCTCCATTCTTCTGTTTGTTAATGTTTGTCTTTTACCTTATTTTTTAATTATGATTGATCTCATTTTTTTCTCTTTCCTTTTTGTTCACAACTATTGCTCATTTTGAATTCTAATAAATGGCATGTGTCACCCACCATTGCTCATTTTCCGGTTTATTGATACCGCATATAATTGATATGGTTTTTAGAAAATGAAACCCAATTAAGAAAAACCAAAATTATGTTAACCTCTAGAAAGATACACATGTTCTAATATTATACAAAAACAATGAATGAAGTATAATATCATCAACAGAAAAACTATATGGCGATAGTGTTATGTTTATTTTCTTTGTTAACTATAGTGTAACACCCCTATAATAAGAGTAAATTTAAACCAAAAAAAAAAGTTACGAATTTAACACCTATGTAAATAAATCACCCAAGAATGGGGAAATAGTGAAAGAGTTTATAATTGAAGAATGGATGTTAGCCAACAACCTAATAATCTATACTAGACTGAAATATAGATTACATTCGGGTGTCGCTGAAATCCTCAAAATAATTAGTATCTAGTAACTCCACAAATTCCATCTAAAGATGTAAGCCCAAAAATGCCTCTACTAGCAACAATGCTCCACTCAAACCTTACGACCCCACCGCTAAGAGAATCTGACATACATGCCATTTAAGAAAAAGTGTGAGGCTAACGCCTAGCGAGATCAATCAGTTTATAAGTAAAGCGATACAACGTTAAAACGGAACACATAGCTTTAATTAAGTCATTTTTATAAATGGACCATCCTTATCATTGGAAGGGTGTAAGACATCATAAGATGACGAGGGAGACTCGATTCACCACTGATCGCGACGGAACACATAAGTAAGCCACATTTCAATTTTATATAAGCGTCACTTATGGATAACCAAATTAGCAAGCTCAACTCCTCGAGTCTTTTGGTTGTGGAGTCACCACGTTCAATTCCTCGAGTCTTTACCTTGAGATATCCATAATCCGAGTTAAGCTAATTCACTTGGAAATTACACTATATTGGTCATTTGCCGATACCCGATTCCAAGAGTCCACACCTTGTTGCCTATTAAGACCTAGTGCCTATTTCAAGTTACAAATAGGGAATATCATCCCAAACATGAAATAAAACCGACTTCTATGCCTATGGATCCATTGCATTCTTGTCCAATATTTATAACTTCTTGGCCACATTAATACATGCCCAACATATAACCTTTTGCTTACAAGGAGTCCTCAAGTGAGTAAATTCCCATTTCACCAACAAAATCCATAATATGAACTTTACACATTTAAGTTCCCAAAATTCACCAATACTTCGAAACAATCATTTCCCATGTATTTAAAATCACTACCCACACTTGTTTTATCAAATAGGTAAAATCCCCCAAAATCTCATATTTGACCTAAATGGTCCAAAATCAACCAAGTGTGAAATAAATGAAATAAAAGCTTTAAGGAACTAACATACATCATTTTAACATGTGTATTGTTTAATAAAAGTTAGGATGAACTCACCTTGCTTGATTTCTTAGGTGCAAACCCTAGAAACCAAGAAATCACCAACAATAGAGATGAGATCTTAGGCCTTGAACCCTAGACTTGAATTTATAGTCTTGATGATGATTAGCCCTCCTTAGATGGTTGGAAAAGTCGAGTAAATGTCCTAGAATTCGGATTTAATGAGGGTGATGAGAGGAAGAAGTAAGAAGAGATGGTAGATGAGAAGAATAAATGAAGCAGTCTTGAAATCGGGTATTTATGCTGCAGTGCCCCATCATGGCGATCTTGCAATGCTATAGTGCCATATGGCACTATCGCGCCAATTGTACCGAGGCTCATCTCCTTCCCAGCGATCCTGCCTTGCTATAGTGCCATATGGCACTATCGCCGGGTACTATGGCCAGGCCCGTACCATGGGTTTTTCCCTATTTTCACCCAATTGAGCCTTTTCTCCTATAAGATGGTACCCAAAGCCATCCAAATTCTGGACTTTGAAACCAAAACCATAAAAGCAAATAAAGATACTTAAAAGTCTTAGAACTTCAGTTACCAAAATTTCCTGGTGTTACATATGGACGGTAAGGCAAACAGAAAAACTAGCGTCACTTTTGGTTTAATGGTGCAATCATCCTCAAGTTAAAGTTATGTTAGGGTAAAATGGTAAGATCTGGATTCAATAGCAAACCTTTGTATGGAGACATACTTGTTATGGTACATCAATTTGATATCAAGTACACATGCTTAATGTCATTCAAGGATACATATAGGGATATTATTGCAGCTTTGTTTAGAGGAATTTCAAACGGAGGGATTTGGGGAGCAAATTGATCCTATGGTGGCAAGCTGGGCATTGTTTGACATACAAGTTCCTAACTTAAGACATATTAATGAATAATGATAGAGGATCAATAAGTAATTTCGGTTGAAAATGTTCACCTCCAAGGTTTACTAAGGGCTCACTCTTTCTGCTTGCTGGCCTGCTATTTTCTCTGTCTATTTCTGCTCTGATCAATTACACTCTCATACTTCAAGAAAATCCTTTCAATGAATTAAACTTTTCAAAAGAAGGGGATTTAAGTCCAAATTTAAGATCACATGACTGCAATTGATCCTCTAAAGGCTACTTGATACTAGTAATTGATGAATTATGGTCAGTGATGTACTTAAATCTGTTTGGTTGGTTTTCCATTTAGTCCTCTATGGATACATAGACTGTGAAGGTTTTTGTTCGGGAGAGTTTTTTCCTAGATGGAATGAGCATGCTTTTTAACTGGGAGGGGTAGGTTTGGAAAAAGAAAAACTAGGCTTTCTGCATAAAGCTCCCCAGTAGAAACTTACTGGATAAGCCACTTTCTATATCATTAAGCCACTACCAAACAGTCATGTATAGCTGACCGAATAAGTTGTGAGTCCCATTAAGCTCATTAAGATGCTAACAAACATCCCCTTACTTTAGTATTATTATATGCTTAGCACTTGGAACATTTATAAAAACATAAATATGTAGTGGATTTTATATTTCATACCAGAATTAAAGTATCTTTTCAGTGTTCATTGTCATATACACAATCCATTTCCATAATTTACCAAATAATGCTGGAGAGTGGTGGTCTCATTATGTAAGATGGTAGTAATGATGACAGAATTGTAATTTGATCATCTTTAATTTTTGGAAAATGGTAATTTATCCTTTTACTTATTTACTGAAGAATGGAAAAGCCAAAGTAAGGAAAAAGTGGTATCTCTTAAGAATTTCTGTGGCACTCTTTTCTTTTCAGACAAAGTGGAGGCAGGAGCAGAAAGCTAAAGAGCATGCTCTTGCACAAGTCGAGGAAGAAAGGCGACTCAAAGAAGCATCAGAATCCAACAACAAAAGAAAGCATGAGGCATTACGCTCAAAAATAGAACTGGATTTCCAGCGACACAAAGACGATCTTCAAAGACTCGAACAGGAACTCTCCCGCCTCAAACTGTCAACCAACTTCGATCAGAATTCAACTAATCCCTCAGCAGCCGAAATCCCCAATGGGTCCCATCCTCAAGGTCCAACCATCGCAAAACTGCTCCATGAACTTGACGATCTTGATGAGAAAGAAGCTGGCATTGATCGCGAATGCATAATTTGCTTGAAAGATGAAGTTTCGGTTGTTTTCTTGCCGTGTGCCCATCAAGTTCTTTGTGCTAGTTGCAACGATGAGTATGGGACAAAGGGAAAGGCGACATGTTTAATATGTCGGGTTCCAATTGAACAGAGGATTCGTGTTTTTGGGGCGAGTTCTTAATCTGGAAATCGTAATCAAAAGGTGGAGTATTTTGGTAAGCTTGTGATTGGTATTTTGTTGTCTTTGATAATCAAATGTGTTGTTCGATGAAGCTGTGGTTAAAAGTAGCAGCATTGCATTACTGAATGTTTATAAATAAGCCGCAAAGCCTGTGTGCATTTTACATGATGAAATTTTTTAATGTGGTTTTGAGTGCTTTTATAAACAAAATTCAACTCTGGTTTGGTTCATAAAAAAATCATTAAAATTTAAAGAAGTTTCCAAAGTTTGTGAGAATATGAAAAGAATTGAAATGGTCAATTCCGTTGATCAAATTGTATGTGTGTTTGGTTTGTTTTTTAAATTTTATTATGGAATTTTAATTCCATGTATGACGGAATTTAAATTGTTTGGGTTTAAGGAAGGAATCACAATTCCTTTTATATTTACTCTAATATATTCCATTCTATTAAACCACAAGGGTGATGTCTGATTGTTTTGAGATTGACTCCAAAGGTCAAAAGTATCAGGAGGTCTCAGGTTCAAATCCAAGGAGAAATAAAAATTTCCTTGCGGCCACGGAGGTTCAAATGCTATGACTCCGGGCTATCTGCAAAGCAGGTGGTCGTCCTGGGATTAGTCGGCTTGCATAGCGGGTTGAATATCCAGGTTAATAAAAAAAACATATTCCATCCTATCACAATGATCATTACCTCCACCATGGCCGCAACGACTGTTACACCACCACTGTCGCATCCATACCCATCGTCATCGTTACCATGATGTATGTATCACCTCCACCATCGTTGTCACAACTGCTAGGGGCGGAGCCACCTTGGAGCTAGAAAGGGGACTGGCTCCCCCTCAAACTTCAAAAACAAAATTTGATAATAGTCCCAAACACGAATTATCATATATGGTTATTTACAAAAATCTTGTATTTTTGATATAAATATAATTATAATTATGTTGTTTAGGTCACTCGTATTTTTAAACTCTTTTTTATAACTATTTTTAGTATAAGTTACAACTAAGAGGTCTTGAATTAAATATTATTATGTAATAAAAATATAAAATCGATCTACGGCTTGAAATAGATCTTTGGTATTTGCTGTACACAGTTAAGGAAAAAGAAGGCCATAATAATTGACAAGTCACAAAACTTGGTACGTTACTTTTGGTAATTATTAATTTTCTTTCTGCCTTTTTATTTAATACTTTTAGATTAAATAAAAATATATTTAATACAAAATTGACGGACACAATCGTCTTGTTTGGTTTGATCCATGGCAACGAACCAAAAATCTTGCACTACAAGGGATTTCACACCCATGATTTTTAAGCAGGATCAAAGGTCAATAAAATTGTTTGATGTGGATTTTTAGTTGAATTCCATCAGTTTGAAGGATTTTTTTAAGCATTTTTATTGAAATTTGAAGACTTTTCCAGTTTTTTGATTGATATTTTTTATATTTTCAAATATAGTAAAATATTATTCAAAATCTAATGAATGCATCTTTTATATAAAAAAATTACTTAGGTCCATAAACTGTATGAAATTGTATTTCATCACTGTATACAACTATTTTACTGTATGAAAAACTGTATGAATCTGGTTCACTGTATTAATCTGTATTTCTTAACTAGATGTCTTCATTGTATGAATCTGTTTCACAGTATTTGTTCACATGTGTGAATCTGGTTCACTGTATGAATCTGTATTAATCTCTTTTCTTCATTGTATGCAACTATTTCACTGTTTCACCGTTTTATATATAAAAACAATTGATTTACACATTTCATATAAACGGTTTCTATATTTACGTTTCCATATTTAAAAATAATTAAATCATTTCCAATATTATACTTGAAAACAATTGATTTACACATTCCATATAAACGGTTTCTATATTTACGTTTTCATATTTAAAAATAATTAAATCATTTCCAATATTAACCATTATACAGTAAAATAACAATTATACCCTTACTCATTAAAATTAAAAAATTAAAAACGGAAGTTTTCTATTGTTCGAGAGTTGTTTACATAGTTTTTACGAATCAAATCTAATCCGCGCATATATATATATATATATATATATATATATATATATATTAATTAGTTTCCTGCAAACTTTTCACCTGTTGATTACTGTGACTCACATTTATTTATTCAACAATAATTGACTTTTTTATACATATATATAACCTTGCAATCCATCCCTTTCAATGGAGTACATGTGAATCATCTCTGTCTTCCACACCTATAAATATAACTAATCATCATCGTCTCATATGCTTTTTAAAATATACAACCTTTTCATAAACAAATCTTGAATGCAGCAACTTACACCAACTGTTCGATAAGATGATGAATGATTTGGGCAAGAAAACCGATGGGTTACCGGAGAAGATGAAGAGATTTCCGATGGTGCTATGCCGGAAAATCTGGAAAGTGGGTCAAGATGATCCCAGAAGGGCGATCCATGCTCTCAAAGTCGGCTTTTCTTTAACGTTGGTGTCATTGTTGTACTTAATGGAGCCATTATTCAAAGGGGTTGGACAGAATGCTATTTGGGCTGTCATGACCGTCGTCGTTGTGCTTGAATTCACTGCTGGTAACTTCTATTTTGCTTACTTGTTCATTTAGGAACGGAGTGACAAGTGAATATTCATAATGAATGTTATTCATATTCATAATGAATGTTATTCATCATGTTCATATTGATAATATGATTTTTGTAGGTGCAACATTGTGCAAAGGATTAAATAGAGGATTCGGGACACTGTTGGCTGCATCATTAGCCTTCTTCTTCGAGTTTATAGCTAGAGAATACGGGAAGGTTTTTCGAGCTGTATTCATCGGGGCTTCGATCTTTCTAATAGGTAATTAATAGAAATCGATACCATCGTTTCTTTATATATCGATTAATTTCTCAAGATATATACTTGGTTTCGTTTTCGCAGGTGCTTTGACTACTTATTTGCGATTTTTTCCTAACATAAAGAAGAATTACGATTATGGTGTACTCATATTTCTCTTGACATTTAATTTGATCACCGTATCAAGTTATCGTGTCGATGACATCCTAAAACTAGCCCAAGGGCGTATTTATACGATCGCGATTGGTTCCGGGGTTTGCATTCTTATGAGTCTTTTCATCTTCCCGAATTGGTCCGGAGAAGATCTCCATAACTCTACTGTTTCCAAAATCGAAGGCCTTGCAAGATCAATCGAAGGTATAGAGTGTTCCACGTCTGCTAAACTTGGACAATATCTGCTCAAATATTCTCTTATATTATATTTGCATATTAATAAAGTTACTTATTTGCTTAATCACGTTTTTAAACACAACGAATGCAGCTTGTGTCGTTAAATACTTTAACGATGAAGAACCGGATCTAGAAATAGATGAGACGACGGAGGATCCGATTTACAACAACTATAAGGCCGTTTTAGATTCAAAATCGACAGATGAAACTCTCGTAAGCTCCTTTATTTCTTAACTTAACAAGTTTTATTCGTCTGAAAATACAAAAGTGATTCTTACAAATTAACAGGCACGACACGCTAGTTGGGAGCCACGACACTCGTGGCACTGCCACAAGTTCCCGTGGCAACAATATGTAAAACTGGGAGGCGTTCTTCGTCACTTTGGGTACGCAATTGTGGCTCTTCACGGAAGTTTACAAACCGAAATCCGGGTATGATTTGTGTCGTCATTATACGACAGATGGTATTTTGTTTCGCGACGCTTTATGAGTTGCTATATCGATATTTTTTATCTACAACTTGCTAAAATAATATACGTTTGCTTGGATCTAGTTTTAGAATGTTCATGAGGGAAGATTCTATTTGGCATATATAATTACATGGCATTCAAATAATTAGTTCGATTCAGATCTCTAATTTCTTCAATATATATATAGAGTTTGTTTCAAATGCAATCTATTATATTTGTACAACCAATACAACATAATAAATTGAAATATTTATGGAAATGATGAGAGTTCATTTATTATGATTTAAATATTTATGAAAGATGAATAAAGTTTATTAATTATGATCAATATTTTATATTAGGAAACAATCAAAACTTATATGAAATTATATATTCATCAAATTAAATGGACGGTTGAGATTGAATTGTATTGATCGTACAAATATAATTGTTCGTATAATAAACTCACCCTCTCTCTGTCTATTAGATATTTATTGAACATCTGAAGGATTTTTGAAGACATGATTGAAATAAGACGTTTTATTCTATATGAAATTTTCAGACTCCAAGATCAGTTCGATTACTATTCAAGGAACCATGCATTCGCCTTGTATCAGAAGTAACAAAAGCTCTAATGGAACTCGCCGACAGCATAAGAAACCGGCGACACTGCTCGCCGGAGATCCTCACGGACCATCTTCACCGGGCACTGCAAGACCTCGATACCGCTTTAAAGTCTCAACCAAGGCTCTTTCTGGGTCCAAATAGCCCTAACAACACGGCCAAAATGCTAGCCGTGGTTGCCGCAACAGCACGCCAAAAATCCGAAAAGCACTTATCTGGCTTGAAAACAGACTCGCCAAGGTTCTTAGACCGGATATCGGAGGGGGAGAGAAGGGTTTTGAGGCCGACGTTAAGCAAGCTTGCGATCACGAGCTTGGAGTTCTCGGAAGCGCTTCCGTTTGCGGCTTTCGTGGCATTGTTGGTGGAATCGGTGGCTCGGCTTGATGTTGTGATTGAGGAAGTGGAGGAATTGGGGAGGGTGGCTTGCTTCAAAGAGTTTAAACATGGCGGCAATGATGATGATGTGATATTGAATGTGGATAGGAGGAGATCAACGGAGATCAATCTTCCTAACTCTGCTGGAGCCGAGTGATTTCGAGTTCGTAAAACATCAATTCTGATCGTTTTTGATAGTTTTGCTTATTTGAAACAATTATACTTTTCTACAATAGTTTTTATCAACTTATTATAAGTTAGAATGATTTAACTTTTTCAAAAACTTTTTATTATCAGTTTGACATCGGTAAAAACTGTTTATTCAAATACTCAAAAATACTACCAATGTGATACTGAAATAAGTCAATAAGTTATTTTTATGATTAAATTTAATATGCAATTAGATTTTAGGAAAAATTAAAAAAACAAAGATAAAAAAAGGGCCCTACCGGGATCGAACCGATGACCTCTTGATCTGCAGTCAAATGCTCTACCACTGAGCTAAAGACCCACGACGGTCAAACTTTCTGACCACCAGTAATTTATGTAAAAATGTTTAATAATTTATCAAATATTATAATACATGCCAACAAAGACAATTAAATTTGCATCAACAAATAAAGTTTCAATATATTTTCAGTTAATTTTTGTAATTTCAATATCTTACAATTTTTTTTTATTAACCTGAATATCCAACCCGCTATGTGAGCCAACTAATCCCATGACATCTAATGAAGTAATACTAGTGTAAAGTCCGTCTTCGATAAGAAAAAAAGATCTGAACGTATTTATGTCTGGGTCAAACTTTAAGGTCGAAAAAGAGAATGATCGGGCTTAATTAGGCCAGGTCTAGACCCGACTTTGCCCTCAAAATTTCGTTCCTGGCTTCGAGCTCATTAAGACCGAGCTTTTTCGGGCTTTTAGTTTAAGCTTGTTACATCTTCAAACTTGGTGTATATGCCCAAATTTGCTGAGGATAAGATATAAATGAGTGGATGAAAAATGGTGCTGAAGTGATGGCTTCTTGCATCTCAAACTGTGTGTGTCTCTTTGGTTGGAACCCTGGCAAGAACTCAACCAATAAGAAACCTCCACCCAATTACCATAATCTTGATCTTCCTTTTCCATCTTCTCTGCTCACCAAGACTTTCCTCAATGGTACTTTTCTATCATTGCTTTTAGCTTATTGCAAAAAGCTCGTCTTATTAGCTATAAGCTAGCTTTTTGAAAAAAGTCGGGTTTTTGTTATGCCTTTTGTATCTGTTTTGGGAATGTTGTTGAGTTTTGCATGATTTTGAGCAGGGAAGGAGCTAAAATGCTGCTACAAGGCTACCATAGATGGATTTAGTGCAACTTCCTTTCATGAATGCGCGGATTTCAAGGGACCGTGTGTGATCATCGGCTACACCGACAATTCATTCAAGTTTGGAGGGTTCAGTCCCGAAGGTTTCAGAAGCACGGACGATTACTACGAGACGTTTGATGCATTCCTCTTCTATTGGCCCGATGAACTGGAACGTGATGGCCCTATTGTGTTGCCTAAAGTAGGGGGCAGTGGTGCTGCTCTTTTTGATTACGCACGAGGCGGGCCCCAGTTTGGGGCTGACGGGCTATTGATCGGGCCACCACTAGCACCGGTCATGGGTGGGTTTGCAGGGCCCGATACAAACTCCGGTGTCGGAGATTTAAGGCAAGCAAAGTCAAGATTGGGGCTGTCTTATGCCAAAAGGGCAGATGGAAAAGAGTCTTTGTTTGGAGATGAATCCAGGGCTTGCCTTGAAGATGTGTTGGTCTTTTGTAGTCCACAAATTGCAAGCCTATACTAAAAGGGTGTGCTATATATGGTTGTACTTCTGCTTTATCAGCTTGTACTTTGTTAATTTTGTAAATCCATTATCCCCAAATCACCATGATTTGCAACAAAGTGTAACTCAACTCTTGCACTCCACTATTTCTGTAGAAGTGAGTGAAAGGCTAAAAATGGTTTTGGTTTCATTTAGGCATAAAAACAAACACCTTTGATGCATTTATGAGACTAATTTGAACTTATTTAAGAAAAAGTAATTATAAATGATATTTTCTTCCTTTTATTTGAATCTTCTTCTTATTAATTACATTTTATAAACATTAATATCTAATCTTTGTTTTTGCATTTGCAATGCAACATGTGTTAGAAACCCAATATTAAAAGCTAAAGAATGGGAATTTTGTTAACAACATGGTTTGAATCAGAGGTGTGTAAAAAATCATCCGATCTAATTAAACCGATCGTTATCAGATATTCAATTGTACTTGGATTGTATCGGATCCAAATTTTCAACATCTAAATTAGATCGTCAGTTCTTTAATAGCAGTCCATAATCCAATAAAATCAAAGCGATCAAATTCAATGATCATCCAACTAACATCTAATTAATAACCATAGTTGATATTTGTATGGAGTTATTTATAATAATTTGATAAAATATACGAATTAGAAATTGGTTGATTAATTGGTTAAAAATTGTGTCAAAATATTGGATGAATCGAATTAGATCCAATGAATAACCAATAGTATCTGAATTGATCTGATCAAATCATCTTTGGATTGGATCAAATGTCTAATGTTAATTAGATTGGATGAGATGACATAATTTAACATCCATTGGATGATTGGATTTGATCAGATCCAGATGAACATCCCTAATTTGAATCCGATATCTTTTCAACTTGAACTTTAATAAAACACTTTAAACCAACTCAACCATTTCAAAATTCTGTCATAATAATGTTAAGAAATACTAGAAAGGTACTCGTGCAATGCAGTGAGATACGTCTTGATTTTAATATTTTATTTTATTCTTTAGCTCAGTTTGATGTTATAATATTGTCTTACGCGATTTTGAAAAAACGATAATGTTTTTATTTTTGAATAAAATATAAATTTGAAGATATCATAAAAATTTGACAAAAATATATTGATATTAGCATTAAATTAACTATTTAAAATTCTTCATTTTTTGTGTAACTTTTTAATTCAATTTTTTTAATTATAATCTAATTTAAGTTCAATAACGAAGTAATTTATATTTGGTTTAATAATATAATTTTCTTATAAAGATAATAATTAATTATTTTGTTAGAACTCGATGATTATTCTAATTATATTTTAGATTTTTYATATTTTAAAATGAGATGTTTATCCTCTATTTGATTATGTTTATCCACAGTTAGTTACACGAATTCAAACATGAAGGTTTAATAAGTTGTATTTATGCATAATTTACTTGTAATCTTGAATTTTAAATAATATACATCAATATACAGTACTTTATACATAAAAAATGATTTTTAAGAGTTTTTGTCAAATGTTTTATAATATAGTATAGACATAGGAGGAGGACGGAACACCAAAATAACACTTTCCAAGAACATTATTTCGAAAGGAGTGAAATTATCATTGAATCATAGTGTAGGGTGTCTAATGAAAAATCAAACCGAAACTTTGTTTCCTTCGAAAGGTCACCTTAGAGTGGTTCAGTTTCCTGATTCCGTCAAAATCCATTCTTTTTCACCTCCACCCACCGCATCAATGGCTGTTTCAGCCTTCACACCAATCATCCGCACCACCCCATCTCCATCTTTCACGATACCCACATCACCATATCTTTCCAGCTTTACAAGAACCAAAAAACTCCAACATGGGGTTTTATCTTTACCCCCAGTTGCTGCCCTCTCCGACCCATTTGTTCTTCAAATTGCAGAATCTTTAGAAGATTCTCTTCCCTCTTCTTCTTCATCAAGTCTCCAAAAGCTCAGAGATTTTGCTTCTGAATCTCTTCTCTCCACTCCATGGCCTTCTAGAAAAGATGAGCCTTTTAGGTTCACAGACACTTCTTTCATCAAGCAATCGGAGGTTATACCAGTTTCATCTTCTCCACCTCCTGAATCTTTGAACCATTTAAGCGTATTCGAAGATACCCATTTGCTCAATTTGACTCTAATTGATGGGTATATCATAGATTCTTTATCCCAATTGTCAGGGTTGCCAGATGAGGTTTTTGTTGGGAGCTTGTCTAGCATTAGTTCAAATGAAATCACAAAAAGGGTACTTGAGTTTTTGCCTAGCTCTGAACAAGGAGACTTGTTTTGGTCCCTTAATGGTGTTGGGTCTCCTGATTTAGTTGTGGTTTATGTGCCAGAAGGATGTAAAGTTGAGGATCCATTGCATTTGAGGTACATTTCCAATGAAGGGAGTGATAAGGAGTCAAAGAAGTTGCCAGTTTCAAATCCAAGGGTTTTGGTGGTGGTGGAGAAAGGAGGGGAGATTGGAATACTTGAAGAGTATGTGGGTGGTGGTGATGGGGATTTAAGTTATTGGACAAATTCAGTTATGGAAATTGTGATTGGGGAAGGAGCTAAAGTTACCCATTCTTACATTCAGACTCAATCCATGAGTTCTGCTCATATTAAATGGACATCCATTCAGCAGGTAATTTCTTCACTGATATATGTTTCTGGTAATGCAAATATAATTCATGAACACTTTGATGATATTGTATTAGCATTGAAAAAACTGAAGTTGGATCATAGAGCTTGTTTCAATTGTATCTATGTACATTAAACACACAACATGATCTTTCTTGTTCATGTAAGTGAGGCACAAATCTGACTTTCAAGTGCATTTTTCATGAATCAAAAATATATTGCCAATTTGCCATAGTCTTTGAATGAAATCCAAACGTATTAATCAGCTTTTCGCTAATAAACTACATAAAAGAGGAAAAGGATTGAGCATTCGAGTTAGGGGTCTCTCTATATTGACTTTTGGCCTCTTCTATTAGATGATGTTGTTTCTTGTTACAGTGTCAGAGGAAAATGAGTAACTTTAGACAAATCATGGAAATGCAAATTCAGTAGCAAATGGCATATTGTTGTTTTTTTGTCCAAAATCCATCGTTCTTCAGTAATGTAGGTTTTTTGCGTTTTTGCAAGAATAATGGTTTGTTTGCATTGAAAACCAAGTTCAACGGTCAAAATTGTGATTCTTTATTGAATGCTAAACGTATTTATATATGCTTTTATATTAACGCTAAATGATGTTGATAATGTTATAACTATAATTACTATCTTACATTACACATCAAGTAATGATTAAAAGTTCAACAGTTTTCAGTAGATATGCTTCTTTACTTTGTTAACGGCTCTTTGTGTGTGTGTGTGTGTATATATATATATATATAGAGAGAGAGAGAGAAAAGTTCAGTTGCAAACCTGTTTTCCGTTGTGATTCTGGGGACAAAGGAGAGCACGATGCTTGTCTCCATTTGTTCCCATCCATCATGAATATTGGACTTTTTACACCATTCATGATGAATGTTACAGTATGCAAGATGAATGATACATCATTCATTATGAATATCTTGTGAATGTCTGGGACAAGTGGCCACTCTCCTCTGGCCCTTGGTTCACAACGAAACTTAAGTTTGTAATTAAACTTTGCCCCTATATATAACTTGATGCGATTGCACACACTCTTACATATGGCTCATGCTCTTGTGCCTTTTTTATGTTTTACAAGTCGAGGGTCTTAGCCTCTTAGGAAAGTAGTCTCTCTATCCCTTGGGGTAAGGTAAGATCTGCCTACATCCTACCTCCAAACCCTACCTGTGTGAGATTTACTCGGTTTGTTTGGTTTCTTTATATTAAATTTTTGTGAGGCAAATTCTACTACTATTCATATAGTTGATGTTAAAATGCATAATAAGTAAATGGCAGAATATGATTCTTTTTCGAACTTGATTGTTTGTAGGAAAAGTCAAGTACCTACGAACTAGTAGAAGTAAGCACTGGCGGAAGATTAAGCCGACACAACGTCCATGTGCAACAAGTTGGGTCAGACACAATCACAGGATTATCGACATTTCACTTGTCTGGTAGTGATCAAACTCAAGATTTACATAGTAAAATCGTTTTGGATCATCCACGAGGGTTTTCTAGGCAACTTCACAAGTGCATTGTAGCTCATTCACTTGGACAAGTCGTATTTGATGGGAACATAAAGGTCAACAGGTAATCCTTTTGGCTCATCTTTAATAATTCGTTATATGTTCTGGTAATGAATATAATAGTAGCGTGGTGGTAATTAGGACCCCTACGTTCTTTTTTCTAGAGTTAGGGGCTGTTTGATTGGTTTTCCATTAAGTTCTATATGGATAAAGCTGTCTGGGTGGATTAATCTGTTTGTGTAGATTGAGATTTTTTTGTTTGTGAGAATTTTTTCCATAAATGAATGGAACATGGTTTTTAATTGGGACAGACATGTTTGGAAAAAACTTGGCTTTCTGCATAAAGCTCCCCTTAGAATTTTACTGAATAAGCTACTTTTTATATCATTAAGTCACTACCAAACAGTCATGTATAGCTGACCAAATAAGTTTGCGATTCCCATTAAGCTCAGTAAGCTGCTAACAAACAGGCCCTTAGACATGAATATATGCAGACACCATCTATGGTATATTTGCTTGTTTACTTCAAAACTAGTTTTGGATAAAAGTTAGGTCAAAATGCATCAAAACATAACGAACTTTGTTTTAGTTCCTATTTAGTGTAACAATGGTTTTTCGTCTTCTCCATTAGTGTAACAAACGTTCAGTTCTTTCTATCTCCTACCCATTTTACTTGATAAAAGGATTTTCTATCTACGTAGCGTCGGTTGATTTTTGTGCAAAAATTTTCTACGTAATCAGGAATTACAATATAACTTCACAACTTGGCATCCACGTAGTCAGTAGTTATCTACATGTTATTGCTCAAAATGGGTACAAAATAAGAAGAATTGATGGCGTTCAATTTCAATATAACACTACACCTTTTGGTAACCGTGAGTGTCCATGCCAACTTGTGTGCATCTTAACTAATCCCTTGAGGCCCTGAAGATAACAGCCAAGAAAATCCTCAGTGGGCATGAGGAGACTCAAATTGGCGACCCATGAGAAGGAGCCTCAAACCTAACCTTTATTTACCAGTTGAGCCGTCCCTCAAGGTTATGTAATAGGTTGCAAAGTTAATTTTATAATATTTGTAAAATTTTGGCAGATACGCGCAGCAGACGGATGCCGGGCAACTAACAAGGAGTCTTATTCTTGAGCCACGTGCAACGGTTAATGTGAAGCCGAATCTGCAGATAATTGCTGATGATGTTAAGTGTTCTCATGGAGCTGCAATCTGTGATTTGGAAGAGGACCAACTGTTTTATCTTCAAGCAAGGGGTATTGATCTGCAAACGGCTAGGAAAGCGCTTATTCTCTCGTTTGGCGCAGAGGTTATAGACCGGTTTCCATCAGCCGATCTCCGAAAGAAGGTGGAACTTCATGTAAAGAAGTTGCTGGATCCCAAAGTCCCCTCAAAGGTTGTGTAAATTTTGAATTTGAAAAGCAATTTTTGTATGGAATTTGTAATCAAAAGTGGACTTTTTGAAGCATCAAATTTGATGTCTAGTTGATGAAGAAAGGAGCCAGCAACCAAGATTTTAGTTTCTGGTTTACAGGTCATCTTTTAAAACTTACTTTGACAAAATAAAATTTCTAATATTTCTATTTTGGGTTGCTTTAAAAAAAAAAAAAAAATATATATATATATATATATATATATATATATACAATTTTTTTAGAAAGATTTCTTTTTAGATTTACCTATTTTTTTTATAACAATTTATTATTATTAAAAACCAAAGGGTCTTTGATCTAACGGCATGTGAGTCTTTGGCATTCTAAAAAGTCAAATGTTCAAACTTTATCAAATATGAGGAGAGTATGTGAGTTTATTTGTTTTATTTGTCGTATATAAATATTATTATATACTTTAAAAAATTATAATTATTAAAGGTATTCCTGATGCACATATGATTGAAATATTTCTTTTTAAGCTATCTATTTTTATTATATCATAAATTATTTAAAAAGAAATCTTAAAAACAAGTAATTATATATCGTGTTTCATTTATTAATGTAAATATTTTAAAATTTAAGGTTATAAGTTATTATAGCACATGTACAATTTTTTAAAACTTTATAAAAACTAATTGATAAACTCTCTAGATTTATTTTTTTCTTTAAATATGATATTTATATTGATATATCTTTTTAACTGTCTTTTTCTCGAGTATACCAGGTATATTCATATTAATATAATTTACAATATTGTAGAACATTTACCTCATGTTTTAAACAAAAAATTAAAATTCAAGTTTACAATTTTGTACAATATTCTAATTTGATCTCATAATACTAACCGAATAAAAACTGATAAACACGTTTAAATACTGAATACAAGATAAATATTGAATCAAACAAAATACAACAAAATACTTCATGAAACTAATAACTAACAAAAAAAAGACTTTCTTGTTCTTTCAAAACCATCACAACCCATAAAATAAAATCGAGAAGGACAGAAAATAGAACGAAACATAAATCAGGATTGAAAGGTTCAAATTTTCGTCTCCAGAATCAAGACGTATCGCTGCATTGTGCGGATATACTTCTAAGGAGTATGGGGAAAGGGTTTCACCAAGTAAAAAGGCGATGCACATATAATATGCTATTCCACTATCATTATAAATCCCAATACTTTTCCCCCTCTATGAATCACCATCATCATCCAATGGCTGCTAATGTACTTCTTTTTAGCATCTGTCATCATGATCTATTGGCTGCAAACACACTCCTTTTTAGTAAAGCTACAAGCTTGTTCAAGACAATTCAATCACCCATCAAATGGACAACTACTATTATTATTATTACATCCTAAAAAAAGCCAAATCGAGCTTATTAAATCGAGCTTAATCTAGAGATCTCAAGTTTGATTCCACATTTGGGTATTGGCCAGTGAATTACTACGAATGAGGGTGCAAAAGAAGGAAATTGTCGCTCAAATGCACATATTATCTTTACCATTTTCGCAGAACCTTCGAATCTTGCTTCTTCTACCAAATGAACAGCACCTGATGATATCACATAGATCGGATTAACAGTGTACTAAATTACTGTGGCATTCAGCATGTATCAAGAAAAGAGAAAAAACCAAACAAGCCCAATATATCCTACCTGAATGTGGATCATGGTGGATCATTCAAATTTGGCTAAACAGCCCCCCGTCTCAATCTTTTCTGTGTTTCAACGAAAAATCAAACTTGGCAGGCAGGTATCAAAGATTGAAACTTTTCACAGCAAAACAAAGGTTGAAATTTTTCACAGCCCAGAATAACAACTTGCATTGATTAATGAAGAAATTACCTAAATACCCTTAAAATGTTTTAAAGTTGAAGACATTTGTAGGTATAGAGATTTTGTTTACACATAATTTTGACTTTATTAGAGAGATATGGTAGGGTCAACCGGATATAACGGTCTCCAAGGCAAATTTGATGTTGTTAAGTGGATTTGCTTTATGCCTATATCTTCCTCAGCACCCCAGTTTAAAATCCTATCTACTAAATTATATTCCACAGTATGAAGGGAAAATCTTAACAAAAAGCGGGTTCAAGATTACATACCAGTTGCTCTTCCTTAAGCATTTCCACTGGCGGCTGGACATTTAATGCAAGGAAAAACAAAATTAATAGTTAGTTTAAGGTTTAATCAAGATGGTCTAGTGTAAACTCGTTCATCCGAGAATATCCTGTTTAGAAAGTAAATTCATATGAATAGTTGGTCTTCTTTTGAAAACGAAAAAACACGTTATATGTTGAAATTCAACCTATGAACACCATTAATATGGTTATCTTCTTACTCTTGCAGTTGAAACCATTCCTCATCTAGGAAGCTAATTAGGGCCTACTGTGATTATTAGCACAAGTGGGGACATGGGCATAAGATTAAATTGAATATATAGATTTGGTGCTAAACCACCTAACTCCCCCTCAATGTTTTACTTCTATTCCAAGCAAAGTCTTTTCTGTATTCAAATTAAGAATTGTTTGGCTTCAAACCCACTACCAACTCTCTTTCTTCGTTCACCGTGTTCGAATTGGTCCAAGTTCAAATTCTGTCATCGATAAAGATCATGGATTCTTGATATCTAACCTCAAATACATGACTAATACGTATACCTAACAGTTTAAATCAAGATTCAAGTGGTCACAAAGTTGTAATGTATATGACATATCGAGAGTTATATCTACCTAATCCATATTTGAAAAGGACAGCCACTATTTTTGCAATTGAAATTGTGTAAAGTTTCATATCAGCTGTCATTTTCAAATGAAAAAGTAAAATAGTAAAATATGCAAGGGAAAATCAAGGAAGGGTTCCAAGTAGTTTCCGTGCCTAAGCAGGTTGATACGGCTCAACATCACAGAATTTCTTTCATCAGCGCAGAATGTCAAAGCATAGAAAAAACTACCAACTAAAGAGTAATTTCGTTTACTATAAATGGTACCAACCTTATGTTTGCTTCCATACAAAACCAAACTTCTCTCTATCTTCCATTTGTTTCTTCTCCCTAAAATGGCATTTTCACACCAAATTCTCTTTATAGCTTCGGCATTGATCTTCTCCGTGCTAAATCCAGCACAAAGCGCCACGTCTGATGGCCCTTTCACCCATTCTCGGGCAGCATACTACCCAGATTCTGATGACAAGGGATCAGAAAGTGAGAACTGAAACATATATAAACACATCATACAGATAAATATATATACAAGGACATGCATACATAGATATACTTTCAATTTCTACTTTTTAGTCGCTACTGATGTTTTGTTATGATTCTTTGATGATGTGGCAGCAGGGAGATGTGGATACGGTTCATTTGGAGCAACAATCAACTATGGAGATGTAGCAGCTGCATCTGATCTCTATCGAGATGGTGTAGGCTGTGGTGCTTGCTACCAGGTCATAAGCATAACATAATATGTAAACAAATCTCTATAAGTATAACAACTTACCAAATTAGTCTCTTTCTAAATCATCAGGTGAGGTGCATGAATAGTAAGGACTGCTCGGATGAAGGAGTGACTGTTGTTATAACTGACCAAGGATCCAGTGATCGGACAGACTTCATTATGAGCAAGAAAGCTTTCCGTAAGATGGCTCAGTCTACGTATGCAGCATCATCTCTACTAGCACAAGGAATTGTAGATATTGAATATCGAAGGTAAGATTCAAAAAATAAAGAATATGTGAGCAACCTAAGAGCAAATAGTTTCCTGTTGATATATATTAAGTTCTCTTTTATTGCACACTTTTTCGAATTATTTTTCTATATTTTATGTTCTTATTACAAGAAATAATTTCATCATCCATCTCTGCCCCCTCCACAGGGTTTCATGCAGCTACCCAGGGAATAACATCACCATCAAGATTGATGAGAGCAGTGACTACCCATATTACCTCGCTTTTGTCATATGGTACCAACAAGGGCAAAAGGACATCACTGCAGTGCAACTATGTGAGGTAAGTTTATGGATATTTTATTGTCGACTATTACTAAGAAGTTGACACTTGTACATCTAATAATCTTACGAGACTTTAACTCCCACCTCAAGGTTTCTTGTGTGGGTTAAATGCCTCTTGCTAAAGCACAAAACAAAAATTGAAGTATTTAGGTAGAGCATATCTTCTAACCAACCATGAAAATAGTAAAACTCAAATGGACATTATATATACATACATATTTATTTATAATATTATATATGCATATGTGTGTGTGTGTGTGTGTATACGGAGCTTCAGATAAGAAAGCCAAAAGGTTGAAAACGTACGAATAAATAATTCATATGTGAATATTGGTAAGAGAAAATGTGGGTTCACATATGCATTTTCAAATGGATTTTTTTGGGTTTACCTATGATTCACATATGAATAATTTATTCTTACATCCTCAACCTTTTTGTCTTTCTTATATGAATCTTCCCCTATGTATGTATGTATATAATCTAGCTATCTAGTTTTTACTGTAGTCACACATGTGCTTTGCTGTTTCTTATATGCAGACAAAAGATTTTAATTGCAAACTATTGGACAGAAGTTATGGATCAGTATTTACAACAACCTCACCACCTAGTGGATCCTTGTCTCTAAGAATGTTACTCAGTGGTGAAGATGGAGATGAAAAATGGATTGTTCCAGTTAATATAATACCTGAGAACTGGAAGAAGGGGGACATATATGATACAGGGGTACAAATAGCAGAATAAGCACCTAATTGTATCCATAGGAATTTTTTCACTGATACTATCAAAGGACAAGAATAATCAGAGAGAACAGTCTCTAGTATGTTGGTTCTAACTTTTTAGCTTATTCTTATTGGTTTGAACTGTAGAATAGTTTAAGACATTATCATTTTAATGTTATGGTTATTTATTCCCAATAAGTTCTCTTCTTTCGTTTTGTTAGAAGTTGTAACAATGTTTGTTAACTTTCCTCTGTAAGAATTGGTCAAGCTACAGTAAAGGTTTATCCATTTATTTATTTTAGCAGGTGTTTGGTTGCCTTCAAGAAAAAAACATAATTTGCATAAAGAAATCATTGTCTGGAAATAAGTGGGGGATTAGGAAAAGTTTTTAACCAAAAAAAGGTCTTCCCTTTTGATATGATTTGTGGATATAAAAAGTTTTCTTTAAGGCAAAAGCAATGATGTGATGCTTCTCAATAGTGCAACTTCCCTGAACTAAGGAGTGGGATGGCTTGGCCTCTTAAATGGAAGTGCTTTTAAGTTATTATTACAAGAACTATTTGAAAAGTCCATACACCTAAATTCTTCCAAAGCCGAGACAGTGAAACTAGCAGCGGTCCGAAAAATTAACCCTGACTATCCACATCAATATATGCAGTTAACTATGGACCTAGAAATTTCTTTAGTCTTCAAAAAATTCACATAATAAATTCTATCAATACAGATTTTTCACAATGTTGTCGGAAATCCAAGCTTAAACTATAAATGGGCTAATAACGATAGCAAAAGAAAGGTTAAGGCGGTGAGGTACAAACATGTCATATTTTAACTGAAATTTCTGATTGTGTTCCCCTATTATTTTCCATTTTTATCTTTGCCATTGTTTGATCTTAAATGAACTTATCATCTGTCAAATATTTGTAATAAATAGATAGAATAAAGTGAGATGATATCTGTACCAATAAAGAAAAGGAAGGCACCCGATCACTGATATCTGTTGGTGAAGTGGGGGTCCAGAGACCTGAATGAACCCAGCTATGAGCCAATATTTCAGCATATTGAAGAACTTGTTGCCACTAAAATTAGAGAAATATCCTTCATGATAATATGACTTCTGTACAAATATGAGGACAAACCTCCTTCAATTTTCATGGTGGGAATATATGAGTTTGTGTTCAGTAGAAGACAACAATAGCAACAATTCTAAGAGAGTTAGTTAACTTCAGCTCCATCAAATAGCGTATCAATATGAAGTAACTAAGATCATGGGTTACAGAAAGATCATGGCAAAAACTTTTCAACCAGGAGAACCCAGGATATGGTTCTTCTCATGGATGGTGAGACGGCATGATTTGAAGGCACCTTGCTTAAGGAAATTTTGGATGTCTCACAAGAATATGAAAGAAGACTCTTCTCTGCAACAACTCCATTAGGATAAAAATTGTTGGCTATCTGCCTCTGCAAGAAGGCATAGCTACTGTCAGAAAGATGCTGTGATGCACCTTCATATATTTGCTCTTTGGCCATCTCTGTTAATATGACAAAAGCTTCCTTTGTTTAGAAGCTCGATTAAATCACCATATCTTCTATCCACAAACCGGTCAAATAAATCTCCTCGATAAGATGAGCACACGCTAGATTTTCGAATCTTCACTACATTGTTTGTCCATACATCATGCCAGTCATCAGATAAACTTAACCTTTAGGTCAGCTTGATCATCTTCACTGGAACAGGGGACTTGTTCTTATATGTCTAAAATCGCAAATTCAACAAAGAAAATTTCTTTAAACTTCAAAATGTTTGAGCATACGACCTCTCTTAAGTATCATATATTATCATTCTTCAAGGCATCATATTTCTGTATGACATTTTCAACTGAATGCCCATCTCACTCAGCATGGAGTACACTAACCTCCTCTTATGGAATGAAGGACCTCCTATTAATTCAACATCAGAATTTCCAGGATGAACCAGACTTGATCCAGCCAATTTTTGTAACCCCCTTTTCATCATCATCTCTCTCACATTCTCAACAGCATCCCATCTCTCTCCAGATGCGTATATGTTTGATAACAATACATATGGTCCGACATCACTAGGTTCTAATTCAATAAGCCTCTTAGCAACCATCTCCCCAAGTTCTAGATTCGAGTGGGTCCTGCAAGCCGATAGTAAGGCACCCCACAAGGCAGGTCCTGAGGCCAAGGACATATTTTTTATCATATCCTCAGAATCTTTCATCAAACCAGCCCGCGAAAGGAGATCAACCATACAACCGTAGTGTTCAACCTTTGGTTCAATCATGTAAACTCGATGCATCAGGTCAAAGTACCACCAGCCCTCCAAAACCATTCCTGCATGCGTACATGCGCTAAGAACGCACACAAAAGTAGCATCATTTGGCACCAAGTCACTTTTCTCCAATTCTAAGAACATTTCTAAAGCTTTCTCCCCATGGCCATGCATCCCATATCCCATGATCATTGAATTCCACGATACCACAGTTTTCTCAGGCATCTCATCAAATACTTGTTTAGCCAAATCCATAGCTCCACATTTGGCATACATCGTCAACAAAGCAGTTGAAAGCAACACATCAATTACAATATTCTTGTTATTCTTAATATAAGAATGGACCCATTCACCCCTATCAAGTCTTCCCAGGTGTCCACATGCAGTCAAGACACTCATTATAGTTGCTTCATTCGCCTTCAAACCTTGATCCTCCAACATGTCATCAAAAAGCCCCAAACACTCGTCGTAGTTTTTGGACCGCACATAAAGAGCTAACAAGGTGTTCCAAGAAACAACATTCCTCAATGGCATCCAATCAAAAAATTTACGTGCAAACACAATATCTCCAATCCTAGCATACCCATCAATCAGACAATTCCAAGAAACAATGTCTCTACAAGGCATCCTATCAAACAACTCTTGAGCTGCCCTCATGTCCCCAATCCAAACATATCCAGCAATCATCGAGTTCCAACTAAACACATCCCTCTCAGGCATTTCATCAAACAGCCAGTGTGCAAGGCCCACCATTCCGTTCTTCACATACCCATCAATCATTGAATTCCAAGTCACCATATCCGAGTCCGGACTTAAATCAAACACCATCTGTGCGTCCCTTATTTTCCCACAAATCGCGTACATATGTATTAATGCATTCCGCACATACAAATCCAACTCAAACCCTTCTTTCAAGACCCGAGTATGTGCCTTTTCCCCTTCTCTTACCAACCCCAGTTCAGCGCAAACCTTCACCAGCAATGGAAATGTGTAATGGTTGGCAGGCACGAAGTTCCCAACCATTTCTCGACGGTAAAACTCCAGGGCTTTAAGTGGTTCATTCGAATTCACAAGACCTCTCATAACAGTGTTACATAAGAACGAATCAGGTTCATCTACGCTATGAAAAACATTAAGAGCATGAAAAACAGTAGATGGAGAAGAGCAGAGCTTCTTCACCACCCGGCCGGCTGCAAGAGAATGCTGAAAGAGACCTGAAACAATGAGTTGTGCGTGTACTTGGTTGAATTCTCTTAGAGTAACGATAGAACATGACTCTAATTTGCTCAAGATAGGATGGCTTAGGCGTAAAATGGGTTGACCTTCATCGTCGTCCTCGTGATCATGCCAGAGTTTGGGCGAGGATCTGAGGGGAAGATTTTTATGGATTTCCCGAAATAATTCAATGGGTTTAGAGAGTTTAACGATCTTTCCGGCCATCGTGTGTTTTCTCGTTGGGTCAGTTGAGTAGTCGGTAGTCAGTCCCCTCGATACAAAAATACCATACGATCTCTGTTTGGACAAAATTGAACAGGTGGCAAGTGAATCCAAAGTAATGGTGGGAATCGTTAATCTTTATTAAGGGGGTGTTTGGGTAAGCTTTTCAAATTGACTTATTAACTTATTTCAGTTCGGTATCGGAGATAAGTCATTTTGGAGTGGTTGGGTAAAAAAAAAAAAAAAAGTGCTTATACCGGTACCAAACCGGTAATAAGTCTTTTTGATAAGTCAATCCCCTCTGACTTATCAAAATCAACTTATTAACAATTTACCATTTTAACCCTTACCCTCTCAAGCGACCGACTGATGAATTTAGGGTTTGTGAAATCGAACCAGAGAATCTCAAACCAGAGAAATCGAGGTCTGTCCATCTCACCAAAGCCTC